GGACATTTAAAACCAGCCATTTCTGCTCCTGGCCTAATATTTCTCTCTACATTGCAGTGGTCCTTGTAGGTTGCTCAACAAAACTATTTGCATTATGGTGAACTGAAAACACCTGCAGGTTTTCCTCTTTCCTTTCAAATGTCAAATATGGTGACATCTGGAATTTTTCAATATCTGCATGATGCTCCTTCATTAGTGTTTTGACATTTAAGTTGAAGCGGAGAAATGTTGACAATCCCTCAGCTTGACTGGCGATGTAGTGCTAATATTTTGAGTGTGGAGATTCTGTGCTAGGAAATATTTTGTGTTTTTTAAAAATCAGCAAGTGGTTTTGTGTGTTTTTTTAAAAAACACAAACCCAATAATTCTTCACAGCTAGGTTGTTTGAGATGCAAAAGGCAATGGGTTTCTTATATCACAGAATGCCTTATCTCTTTAAGATCAGTCATTCAGAGCTATTTAATTTTATATAATTACTTATTACTAGATTTGAGGGGACGCGGGTGGCGCTGTGGGTAAAACCTCAGTGCCTAGGACTTGCCGATCACATGGTCGGCGGTTCGAATCCCTGCGACTGGGTGAGCTCCCGTCTTTCGGTCCCAGCTCCTGCCCACCTAGCAGTTCGAAAGCACCTCTAAGTGCAAGTAGATAAATAGGTACCGCCTTATAGCGGGAAGGTAAACGGCGTTTCCGTGTGCTGCGCTGGTACTGGCTCGCCAGAGCAACTTCGTCACGCTGGCCACGTGACCCGGAAGTGTCTCCGGACAGCGCTGGCCCCCGGCCTCTTAAGTGAGATGGGCGCACAACCCTAGAGTCGGACACGACTGGCCCGTATGGGCAGGGGTACCTTTACCTTACCTTTACCTTTATTACTAGATTTATATGACCGCCCATCCACACATGTTCCCTGAGCAGATTACACTGTGAGCAATGCAATGCAAAATACAGTACAATACATGGGTGGAGCACATTGGCTGAGCGAGGACACAGAACGAAAGAGAGGGCACCATTTTGTCAAACGAAGGCCTACTTATCCTCTCGCAGAAACTTTACACCACACACAGATAGACAACTTGACCTTACGCAGGGATTTGTTGGTAGAAATAAAAGCCCAGCCCACAACTTTAGCAACAAGGTCGCTAATACTGGAACGTGCTGTACGTTAGGGTTGCCATTATTTCTAGAAGTAAATTTCAGGACATGAAAGTTGTTGAGCTATTTTTGCCTGTTAAATCCCAGACCTGCCCAGGAAATCCTGGACCCGTGGCAACAGTACTGTATGTAACATTTATTGACAGTACAGTATTTGGCAAGTTATAGAGTGGCTTCCCCCATGTGGCGAACCAGTAAATTGCAAGTAACAGTTTCTCAAGAAAATACCTCTAGCTCATGGATTAACCCTGCCTAAGGTCGGCGGTTCGAATCCCCACGACGGGGTGAGCTCCCGTTGCTCGGTCCCTGCTCCTGCCAACCTAGCAGTTCCAAAACATGTCAAAGTGCAAGTAGATAAATAGGTACCGCTCTGTCAGGAAGGTAAACGGCGTTTCCGTGCGCTGCTCTGGTTCTCCAGAAGCAGCTTAGTCATACTGGCCACATGATCCGGAAGCTGTATGCCGGCTCCCTTGGCCAATAAAGCGAGATGAGCGCTGCAACCCCAGAGTCGTCCGTGACTGGACCGAATGGTCAGGGGTCTTGACTTACTCTTTTGTCAGAATTACTGGCATCTATGCACAGCTCCTGGCTCACTTCAGATTGTTAGCCCAGGCAAGAGCCTTCTTTTCAACAACTGCTCTACCTTTTTTAAGGTCCCTGGTCTTCTCAGAGCCCCAGGGTTTCTCTTAACTTCAGGAACCACTTGGTGGTCTCTGAGAGCTTGGGCACTCCTTTCATCACAGGACATTGACCCGGAAACTGCAATTAATCCAGAATGTGGCAGCTAGACTGGTGACTAGGGGTGGCCACCGAGACCACATAACACCAGTCTTGAAAGACCTACATCGGCTCCCAGTACGTTTCCGAGCACAATTCAAAGTGTTGGTGCTGACCTTTAAAGCCCTAAATGGCCTCGGTCCAGTATATCTGAAGGAGTGTCTCCACCCCCATCGTTCTACCCAGACACTGAGGTCCAGAGCCAAGGGCCTTCTGCCAGTTCCCTCACTGCGAGAAGCCAAGTAACAGGGAACCAGACAGAGGGCCTTCTCGGTGGTGGCACCCACCCTGTGGAACACCCTCCCACGAGATGTCAATGAGAACAACAACTACCAGACTTTTAGAAGACACCTGAAGGCTGTTTAGGGAAGCTTTTAATTTTTGATGCATTACTGTATTTTAATATTTTGTTGGAAGCCGCCCAGAGTGGCTGGGGAAGCCCAGCCAGATGGGCAGGGTATAAATAATAAATAATAATTATTGTTGTTGTTATTTCTGTAGTGCCGTGGTCTCTACTGTGCTTGTTTGTCTTTTCTGCCCTCACCACTGGAAAAAACAGCCCCAGAAAATTCGCTATGTCTTCTTTTTGTCTCCTCTGACATTGTAGCAGTAGATAATATGCCGCCCAACTAACTGTGTTGCCCCATCTACTCTGGGCAGCTTCTGGCAAATTATAAAGAATGCAATGAAACAGCAAACATTAAAAGCATCCCTTTACAGGGCTGCCTTCAGATGTAAGACAGATTTCCTTTTCTTCTTTTTTTCTCCTCTCTTTTCCATTTCCCTCTCGTTCTCCTCTTCACTGTGCTTCCACATTGCCTCTTTCCCCAGCATCCCTTTCCCACTCCCTCCTCCCAGGACCTGCTTCTCACAGCTCCTCTTTCAAGATGCTCCCTCCACGTCACTGACCCATCACCCCCCTTCCATTTCTCCCATCTCACCTTCTCACCATATCCTGACAAATTGTTCACCAAGCAGGTGATGTATTTCTTGGGCTTTTCTATCCAAATCCAAGTTTTCAGAGATCTTAATGCATTGTGTTCTTGGAACCTTGATAAATGTCAACTGCTGACTCCTTGTAAAACATATCATGTCGTTGTTCTTGGGAGTTATTTTCTTCCAGTAACTTATGTTTTTTTGAAAGCAGATGGATCCACCATGCTTTCAGCTTAATCTACTTAAACCTGCCTGTATGCTAATGCCCATGTAAACAAATACCTCGGTGGCCATTAAGATGAAAGCAGATAATAATACTGGGAAGAGATTGTTTGTGACCCTTGGGACAGCAAACATAATGTTGAGCTTGGCATCATTAATCTTGTGGTCAGAAAAGCACTGCATCAGCATGTTTAATGAGAGAGTAAAATGCCAGCCATAAAAGTTTTCTTCTCAGAGAGAAAGACAAACATAAATCTCTGCAAGTTCCTGCTCTGCAAGATTTTAGTTTGAAACCTGCAGATTCTAAGGCATAGCTCGGCCACATAGCGTAACCACAAGCTTCAAATTTTGTCCAAAGCATAGGGTTCTACAGCCTTCAGGTGTTCCTCCTCATAGGAGCACCATCTCAAGAACATGAAAAGAGCCTGGCTGGATCTGGCCAATGGCTCATCTGGTCCATCACATTCTCATAGGATGGATGGCCATACTTTACAGAGTGCAGTTCTCTATTTCAAGACTTGTCTGGTCCAAGAGCCCTTAGAAGAGACCAGGAGTGGCCAGTGCCAATGGTGAAAATAACACAAATGTGATCCAAATTGCCCTAAAAAGTCACAGGAAAAAATTACATTTCCTCAGCAATTTCAGCTTTGTTTTTTGAATGTAGGTGATAGATGTGATAGCTAGGGGGACATTGTCTGTACTCACCACCAGAAACAAGTAACAGCTGTGGCTTCCTTGTGCAGAAAGCAATAGCATTTGCAGAGGTTGTGAGGTATCGCATACCTCACAGTGATAGCTTGCTGAGGGACAGGCGATAGTCTTTGGAAATGAATCAGGCCTCTCGGAGACTGATCAATTGTTTCCTGTCAGACTCCATCTGTCATTAGGAAGCAATCATTTCATTCCAGCCGCATAATCCCAAGGCTATGAATGGTCTAACCTGGATGATTTATCTGAGGTGAGAGAATTCAGTTCATCAGGGAAGTGTCTCAGCTAACATAATATTTGATGCTAACACTTAAGATAAAAATGTGGGGAAATCTCCCTTTTGAGTTCTAGGTGATATATAAGGTGGATGCTGGGCTCTGACGTAGGGCTGGCTGGTGGCTTGAGCCTAGATTTGCTAGATTCATTCTCTTCATATCTACTTCTGGAACATAGCGCCTTATGCCAGTTCAAACCATTGTTCATCTCTAGCCTGCTGTAACCTACCTAAAATTCTGAGCATGAATATCCCTGCAGGTTCTCACAGATGTCTTTGCCACCTTCTTCGGCGATCACTCATAGTTGCATAAGATTGTCTTCCATGAACACGGTTTTAACAATGAATCTGTAACTGACTTCTGGATCCACACGTCCTTCCACAGTGGGGACATAGGTTTCCGGGCAGGAGTTGATCATGGTGAGTGTTTGCCAAGCGTGCCTTCCTCTTAACACGTTTCTCCCTTTCATCCTGAGTTCAAGCATCTTCAAAGTCCATGACATCTTTGGTAAAGGCTGTTCTCCAGCTGGAGCGCTTGCAGGCCAGTGTTTCCCAGTTGTCTGTGTTTATACTACATTTTTAAAGATTTGCCTTGAGAGAGTCTTTGAAACTCTTTTGTTGACCACCAACATTACGCTTTCCATTTTTAAGTTCAGACAAGGGTAGTTGCTTTGGAAGACGATCATCAGGCATCCACACAACATGACCAGTCCAATGAAGTTGATGTTGAAGAATCATTGCTTCAACACTGGTGATCTTTGCTTCTTCCAGTACACTGGCATTAGTTCGCATGTCTTCCCAAGTGATGTGTAAACATTTTCAGAGACACCGTTGATGGAATCTTTCGAGGAGTTGGAGATGGCATTTATAAGTGGTCCACGTTTCACAAGCACACAGCAAGGTTGGTAGCACCAATAGTCTGTTTCTTAACTGGAGATCCCAGGGCTTGAACCCGGATTTCCTTTTCCAGCAAAGTATGTGGTCTACCACTGAACTACACTCCCAGCATGTATTTATTTTTAAAGATTCTTCTATTTATATTCTGCCTTTCTTCCATTGTGGAGCCTAAGGTGGGAGACATTTGATTCCTGGGTGGTCAACAGCACTGACTAGCCATGGATTCCCAGGCAAGAGTCTTTCCCAGCCCAACTGGAAACTTCAGGAACTGAACCTGGGGAAACTTCTACTTGCAAAAGAGATGCTTTGCCACAGCTCAGCATTAGAGCAATGGTAACACAACTTCTTTGCTTAACTGTGACGTCAGCCTGACCACCATTTTACATCTTCCGCAATGCCCTGGATCTAGTGTCATGCCACAGGATTGTGTGTTGTGTGGAGACAGTGGCTACCTGCCCCCCAAAATGGAGAATGTTCTGCAAACTGGCCATTTCTTGGGAGGTGAGCAAAAGAAGCAACCTCAGGAAAAAAATGTTTTCTGAGAAGTACCGACTCAGCTTTAGACAACAGGAGACATTTATTTTAGTTTGAGATGAACTCTGAACTCTTTCCAGAAGTAGTGACTGAGCTTATCAAATGCAAAACTGGGTTTTGCTAGAGAAAATGTAATCAATTCATTTTCTGCTTTGATAGTTCTTTAATGTCCTGTTGTTGTAGTAGTAGTAGTAGTAGTAGTAGTAGTAATAATAATAATAATAATAATAGAAGGTATCATAGACAAACCTATCATTGATGCCAAAGATGAAGCTGGGCTCTCTGACCCCAAAAATTTATGCCATAATAAATGTAGTTATGTTTAAGCCCATATCCACACTATACATTAAAAGCACTTTTACACCACTTTAATAGTCGTAGCTTCCCAGAAACAATCTTGGGAACTGTAGGTTTATTTTAAGGGTGCTGGGGAGACCATTGTTCCTTTTGCAGAGCTACAATTCTAAGAGATCCCTGGAAAGAGGCGCTGATTGTTCAGCCACTCTGGGAATTGTAGCTCTGTGAGAGGTCTCCTAACAACTCACAGCACCCATAGTAAACTAGAGTTCCCAGTACACTGGTACTTCGGTTTTTGGACATCTCCGTCAACATTTTGGTTTTCGTAAACCCGGAAGTAAAAGCTTCGGTTTTTGAACACGTCTCGGAAGTCGAACATGCCACACGGTTTCCTCTGAGTGCAAGATCCTGAGGCCTAGCTGTCAGCTGTTGAGTTTTTGGTTTTTGAACGTTTCAGAACTCAAAAAGTCTTGCGGAACGGATTACGTTCGAAAACTGAGGTACCACTGCATTTGGGGAAATCTATGGGTGTTGAAGGGACGCGGGTGGCACTGTGGGTTAAACCACAGAGCCTAGGACTTGCCGATCAGAAGGTCGGTGGTTCGAATCCCCGTGACGGGGTGAGCTCCCATTGTTCGGTCCCTGCTCCTGCCAACCTAGCAGTTTAAAAGCACGTCAAAGTGCAAGTAGATAAATAGGTACTGCTCTGGCGGGAAGGTAAACGGCGTTTCTGTGCGCTACTCTGGTTTGCCAGAAGCGGCTTAGTCATGCTGGCCACATGATCCGGAAGCTGTGCACTGGCTCCCTCAGCCAGTAAAGCGAGATGAGCGCCGCAACCCCAGAGTCGGTCACGACTGAACTGAATGGTCAGGGGTCCCTTTACCTTTACCTATGGGTGTTTAAAGTGGCATGAAACGGCCTTAAATGTATAGTATAGAAGTAATTTAAGATTCCATGGGAGTTGTTCTTGGGGGTTTTTTGCCACAGCAAGACTAGCATAGCTACTGCTTTGGAAAGTATCAGTTGTATTTCCTCTTCCAAGAAGATGGGCACATTCAGGCCCAAATCCAGTTAAGCCAAAGTACTTGGCTTTAGACTAACGGAACTAATCTGACTTAAATCCTAGGACTTTAGCTTAGGACCCTGAGTTGTGGATTGGGTTGTTAATTACTCCTGATGGTAATCCTGTGGCTTCCATAACCTGGAGTAGTTTTGTCAACTGGTGGAGATAGAAAATGACTCCTCCATGACATTTGCAATGCCATCTGTTCACTGCTGCACCTATTTCTCGTTCCCGCAAGATTAGGAATTGGCTGAGCACGGATTCATGGAATGGGAAGGGTGTATTGCTGGAACAGCAGTTTCTCACCCCCTTCACCTTCTTCAGGCAAGAGAGGAAACGTTAGATATGAATCGCAGGTGACTCAGAGGAGAATGTGCAGATGATTGCACAAGAATAAAACCCCTCTGTGTCTGGCTTAAAGGCAAGTGCCAACTGTTGACAATCCCCAACAAATTTAAAGAGGGATTATGGAATTACAGCTCCCCCTCCGAAATCTTTGAAACCTCTTTTAATCCAGGCTATTTGAGTCTTTTCCACCGGTGCTGCTCTGACCATCTCCTTCCTTGGAGGTTTTAAAGCAGAGGTTGGATGGCCATTTGTCATGTATGATCTAGTGCAGGGGTCGGCAACCTAAGGCCCGTGGGCCACAAGTGGCCCATGGGGGTCATTTAACCAGCCCATGGACCCCAGCCACCCGCTTAGGGACCCCCGCCGCCCAATCGGTTGGCTCCCGTGCGCCGCGCTAAACCGGCGCGGAGCAGAGCGAGGACCGCCTTCCGTGACTCTGGCCGGCTTCCCATTGGCTGCAGGAGCTTCCTGCAGCTAATGGGAAGCTGCGCACGCCTCTTCCTCACCGGAAGGAGCGCCAGAAATAGCGTTTGCGCATGCATGCATGCACGTACACATACACACATTCTGGCCGACCACAGCATCTGCGGGACCGTGAACCGACCCAAGCCACAAAAACTTTGCTGATCCCTGATCTAGTGAAGATTCCTGCATTACAGGGAGCTGGATTTGATGACCCTCGAGGTCTCTTCCAATTCTACAATTCTATCATTCTTCATCAGAACGCGAGAAGAGCCCTGGTGGATCAAGCCAAAGACCCATCTGGTCCAACATTCTGGTCTCACAGTGTCTAACCAGATGCCACAGTGGGAAACCCGAAAGCATGTCCTTAGTACAACAGCACTTTCCCCTGTTGGGATTCCCAGCAATTGAGAGGCTTATTGCCTCCAACAGTGGAAGGAGAACATAGGGGTTTGGGCTAGTAGCTATTGATAGCCTGATTTTCCATAAGTTTACCTAATCTTCTTTTAAAGCCTTCCAATTTGGTGGCCTTCACTGCCTCTTGAAGGATCTAGTTCCATAGTTCAGCTATGAGCTGTGTAAAAAATAAATAAATGTTTTCCTTTGTCTGTCTTGCATCTTTCAACATTTAGCTTCATTGGATGTCCACAAGTTCTAGTGTCAGGAGAGAGATAGAGAGAGAAACTCGTATTGCCTTCTTGTTTGTTTGTTCCTTCCTTCCAAATCTATGGAAGTACCAGATCACAAGTTACATCCTCCACTGACAATAATGCGAACTGAGAACAACACAGGCTGCATCACACGCAGGCAAATTTGTTTGCTTCTCAGTTCAGGTGTCTTTGCGGGTACCAGGACAGTGCATGGGATTCATTTCACTTACAAATAAGCACACATTTACAACTATGTTCTGGGGGGGTGGTCCCACAAGGGTTTGCAATGTGACTCTGCCTGGGGAGTGATTTCAGTTGTGCATCATTCAACAGTAACTATTATTTATTTTTATTTATTTTACTTTATTAAACTTAACTAAGGGAATGGTTTGGCATGCAGTGGAAGGAGACAAAATCTAGCACTGGGTTCACAACAGGATGGATCCAGAAGGAAATTGGCTCATCTCCAGTTTTTAAAATCAAAACCCCTCAAATGCTATTCCATTACTGCAGGGTTCTAGGGTGTAAATAGCAATGTATGTTTGTCTGTGGTGTGTGTGTGTGTGTGTGTGTGTGTGTGTGTGATCAGAACTTGCTTTGTTTTTCTTCCAAACACGACGTGGCTAGCATATCATGCTCAACCCTGTTTTCTGGGTGTTTTTCGCAAATAAATTCTCTCAGGAAGTGCTATTTGTTTTGACAAACGTTTTTGAAATCTGTCATGTGGAATAATGAGCTTTCAAATGATGCACTCAGTGATCTAATTCGCACAGTATTGTTTCTGCTCTTTAAGCCGGGTAGCAGACATCTTGATACGAAACCCGGTGAAGGTAGCAAACTCGAACGCAGCCGCCCACCCACGGTGCCACTCATACCACCCGCTCTACGGATATGTGCCTGGCCGTGATGGCACAGGGGAGTGACTTGAGCTGCTGCATGTTTGACACGCAAGGCAATTCCACCCATGATGCTTCTTGTCAACGCTCTCCATCCAGCACACATGGAAAGCTCGCCCCTTCTCTCTGAATGCCAATGGGACAGTTTGTGGGGAGAGCTCTTTTTGAGGGCATAAACTTTCTGGGATGGCAGAGACATTCTTACAGTATATTATCACGTTCCCACCACAACAAGGATCTCAAGTTGGCATACATGGCTCTCGCCACATCTCCCTATGGAACTCCCTGCCTCTTGACATTGGGCAGAAACTTTCACTATAACCTTTTAGATGCCTGCTGAAAACCTTTCTGTTTCAGAGCGCCTCCCTAGACTAGGGATGTTGGGGAATTCCAGCAAAAACAAAAAATGGGAGCAACAATTGCCGCTGCTCACCTGTTTGTCCCGTGTCCGGAATGGAAGCCCATCCAGTCAGCATTCACCACTGTTGTTGCTCTCAGGCTGCAAAGAAGATTTACACACACACACAATTTGCATTGTGCTTCCTTTGCACTGGAACGAACAGGGTGGACTAAGATGACGATAACACAGCAAGCCTAGTTTACGTCAACTTGGCTGTGTTTCTCAGAAAGCAAGGAAAATGGGGGTGGGTTTTTAAATAGCCGAGGCCAAAAAGCAACCTGCAAGCTTAGTGAGACCTCGGCCGGACTTGGGATGCCTTGTTAATGGTGTGAGCCAACTTAGAATCATAGAATTGTAGAGTTGGAAGGGATGCAACCGTCATCTAGTCCAACCCCTTGAAATGCAGGAATCACAGCTAAAAAAATCACCATCCAACCTCTGCTTAAAAACCTCCAAT